TTGAAAGATATTTACCAAAAGATAGATAGACAGATAAATAACTGAGGAATGCACTGCGACCTTAGGTCTATTGTGCCCTCTCCTAACTCACAGGGACTCGCTTAGCCCCAGCATATTGACCAGTCCAGTATTCTGCTGGGTGCTAGCGCGGCGATRTGATCCCTATCCGGAAACATGGCTCCAAGGGMMTTCGACCTGCGCCTACAGACTGCAATGCAGTCGWTTAACAGGTGCTCCGGRGTTTCAGGGTCMYTGTCGCAAAACCGACAGTTGGCGCAAGATGATAGGCCCATGTTAGCTAAGTGCCTTTTCAGCTTGCAGTGGGCGGTATAAAATGCAACCAGGATCCTGAGTTTGTTTCTTGGGAGGTTAATTAACCAAAAGATAGCCTTGTATAAAGAATTAATTRTGGCAGATTGAATAAATATACAATAAAACTTGGAAGAGTCTGAAAATAATATCTCAAGGGTGCCCATTTTACAGAAACAAAGTATTTGGAAGGATTTTAATTTGATTATCTTTTAGAGTAGGGTTTCCAAAAGGTGTGCCAAATTTTGTAAATGTAATATTGTACGAACTTCAAGCATGATCTTTGAAAATTATTCAGGAATTATTTAATATTTATTGAGCGCGCTTTTCGTATAATGAGTTTTAAAATTCCTCTTGGATCAAACATGCTAAGCGTTCAGCTAGTTGCTCATACGCCCCACCCCACTTATACACAACGTACCAAAAGTACTACCCACATTTATTCACTACTAACAATAGCCTATAAATTATAAACCGCAATTTTTGTAAATGATTAAAAAAAAATCCATTACAAAATAGCCATAAATTTTCAGCAAGCTCATAAATTTATTTCCAACCCTGCAATTAAAGCTACTGATTAGAAGAACGCTCCCTTGCACAGTGCTCGAGCATTTCAAACACCAGTGCTTTATTTTGAAGAACCTAATACAAATTCAATATGTATAGCACACCCACATCATTATAACAATAAAAAATAAAACGCCTAACCAAAATCGCTGCCAATAAAATAGAAAAGAGCACACGCTCGCATGCTACTGCTCGCATAGTTAATTATACGCCATGCTGATCCCAAGCTATTTGCGCGTGCAAATTTTGGTGGCGCCACGAGTATCTAAAATTATTTATTTATTTTCACATTTAGCGTTGTTGTGGAATAAAGAAAATTGAATTAAAATACATTTATAAATCCTCTGCACGTACACACAAACACTATTTGGGAGAGCAGACACGACCGCCTGGCTATAAATATGGAAATTCTACGCCTGACCGCGCATAATTTTTGAAGTGTTCACGCTATCACCGCAAGAATTTGAAAACAGCTAACAACCATTTCTTATATGTATATTTATTAACTGTATTTATAATGTTTATTGCGACACATATGTACTAGTTTTGTTATGGGACTAGGACAGCTTTTCGCATCATATTTCTTTATTTCAGTAATAGTCACTTGCTTATTGTCACTTGGTTGGTTGACTAAAAACAGAGAAATGCAGAAGCGCTAGATCGCATGCGGTCACGCTTATGGTGCATTATCCATTATGCTTCAACTGTTAACCAATTAAGCCTTATCCAGCAACTCAATGGATTTGATAAAAAAAGATTTTCCACCACAGCTGGCCAATGTCTTTAAAGTAGGAACAATTGACAGCCATGCTAAATATCGCGTCTCAATCGGCTGAACGCTGCACAAAGATCTGCAACATTATCTTCTCGTCATCCTTCGCGCATACTCTAGTACTAATATTTGTGTCTGCATTCTACCAATTGCTGTTTACTAATTTTCGGAAGATAAGACCCTAGAGAAACATATATCCTGTGATGACCCCAACAATGTTACTTAGTTCGCTCTTGCCTAAAATTAGATGGTTTAGATCTGCTCACCATCAACTCTACCCCAAAGTCCCTTTCTGGTATACACTTTCTTACTACTGTTCCAAGATCTGAGATGTATCTTTGGTATCCATTGCTGAAATCAACGTTTGAAGGAAATGAATGGCCCTGAAATGGCGCCCTGCGTGGGTCTATCTTTATATAAGCACTACAGATAGCCTTATATGCCGTATGTTTATCAACTAGAAGGTTAATGGACTTGTTGATTAGAGCAAAAGCCGACTAGGCACCTTCTGTTATGCTAATAATTTCAGCCTTAAAGACTGAATTGTAGTCATTTTCATTTGAAAACCTTCTGCGTATGGAAAATTACTTCTGTTCCTGTTTCAATCTTTCATCCAACGTCGAATATATGGACTTCGCCATTAGAACTGTCGATTCCGTTGAGAACCATTGATCTATTCTACTCTGTTGTTGTATGAAAACGTCATGTTTAACTCACCATGTACCTACTTTTCTGGGTCAACAATTATTACAATCTAGCTCGAGTTTAGTAACAAGGTCGAGTATCATACTATTCCCACAGTGACGTCGAACCTGAGTCCAATGGCTTAAAATCTACAGCCGGCTGATCTTAAGCATTATTCTTAACTGGAATAAGTATTAGTTATCTGAAGATTAAACTCCAAAACMTTTGACATAATAACATTATAAATATTAATTGTTTTGCTAGACAAGAACAAKTTCCAAAGAATAGCAGTCTTTCTTCTACTTTTATCTTAAAGTATAGTAATATATTTAGTGCTAGTTTACCAACTAAAATAAGTGCTTSAAAGAGTTGCAAATTTTATAAAACTTTGTTTAGAGTAACTTGGAATTCACTACATATTTTTGTCTGGCAACTGAATCATGATAATGGCGTGATTAAAACTTTCGGCACCTAAAATTTCTTACTACAACATCATTTCCGTTACTTTAAATGCAAATACTTCCACCCTTTCTAACCTTTTTAGAAAGAAATAGTTACYCAAATGTGCTCAACTCACCTGGATTCGAACCAATCATTCCATCGCCCAATGTCCATTTGGGTTTATCCACTTGCAGTGTTTGATAAAACACAGCCAACATGGCAGCGAAGAATCCAGTTAACGCCGCATAAAAAATAATATAGAAAAATAAAATTTTTGCTGCAAAGAAAAAAAGGGAAAATATATAGATTATTAGTAAACATTTAAATTTGTGAAACATTTGTCATTAAAGTAATTCAAAAGATTTTCAAAAAAGCTTTAATATACATTATAAAGTATTTTAAAAATTTTCTGCTGGAAAAATTTTTTTTGATACATATTCTTGTTACACTTTCTTGGCTCAAATTTTGACTAAAACTAAAAATTTTACACTACTTTGATAAATATATCTCAAGCGTCTTAGTCTTAGCGTCGCATACAAAAGATCTATCAMCAAAATCATCAATTATTTAAGAGTAGAGATTGAAAGTTTCAATTATTTRTACCACGCAGTAAAAATGAGTTTTAGTGTAATGAATTTTAATATGGTTGTGAACTYGGATATTTATGTTTTAGCAGAGACATTTACCAAAAATTATCCAATTTCAATTTTTTCGGTTAATATACATCGAGCCGAGACATAACCGAGGGCGCCTCTGTTATTAGGATTTCAGCTGGATGTAGTTTTATATAATTCATACGGTTGTGAACTTGGATACATACATTCTAGCAAAGATATATTTTTCGCAATAAAATGGCATTTATTAGTAGAGGACTGTCTATGGTGAAACTTTATTAATGAAGAGTAGTCGTAAAAACAACGGTATCATTATTCTTATTAATCAATTGAACGCTTGGTTATTCTTACTCCAGATTGTAACAAAATTATAACTGACTCAGCTTGGCTCCATACACACTGAAAAACCGATATACAGAATTACTACATTAAACATAAATTTATCGTTTTCGAACGGAATAGAAATTTCTGAAATAAATCTTTTGGCCTATAACAACATTCTGTGAGGCTGCCATTTGAGTATTCCCAAAAAAGATACCACGATCTATTACGGTAAAGAGCTTGATAAATGATCATTTTGGAGGGATCCTTTCCCCAAAAAAAAAAAAAAAAATCAAAAGGATTTGGAAGACGAAACAGTGACATTACTCCAAGAAATATTTATTATATACAATGAAAACATCAAGTATCAATCCATGCCACTGATATGAATTTTAATTAAGGTATGATTTATTAAAAATCACCTTCGTAATTGATTTCAGTTAAACTATCTTCAAAAACACATTTACCTAGCGTAATTGGCTAGAGCCAATCGCTCGCACACACCTCTGCGACACGATTAAATATACATGAAATGCATGGGTGAATTTTTAATATCCAACCAGCTGATACTAATCAGATTCACTTCTGTCAACTGTGGTAGCGCCACCGCAGAAACACACGCACGCACCGCTCGCGCCCTACTTCTCTCTGCCTACCACTATATTTCATCTGTTCCTTTTCTACTGTTTCTAAATTGATATTTGAAAATTTTGTTGTTGGCATTTCAGCGSCAAACCCGCAGCCATTTGCAGCCGCTTTCGCGGTTTTTCCGAAGCAAAGTAAAGCCATAGCAAAWATTGCTGCTTTGGCTTAAGTGGCGGCAGCTGTTTGTATTTATAATGCTTTTCCAGGGTTGCTATGYCGATTTGTGCACAATACTTATTTTCGTTCAGGTGTAGGTTTGTAGGCGCTGCGAATTTGCATTTTAATTGACAAGCCAACGAAAGGCAAGCAACTGTTGTTTCTTCTTGCTCCGCCATTTTGAGGTTATAAATAGGAGCGTATGAAATATGAATTTAAGTGTAATTTGAAAGAGATCGATAACTACATATCTGACGTCATTACTATTATTGTATTTTATACCTACAGACTTTTGAACTGTTTTTATGGAAAATATACAAACGAAATCTGCAAAAAACCTAACTAGTTTTCAGACCATACATCTAGAAATCATTCTTACTTATTTTTTATAGTAAATAATTCTACCTTATTGATCCGCTTAGAAGTAGGTCGGTCGATGTATGTCTACTCATCGTTACATTATAGTTAATGCCAAAGAAAATTATTGAAGATTTCCCTTTTCAGTCGGATTTGGGTACCGTAGAGATTTTATTCACAGTAATAGTACCCAAAGCCACAAAGTGTTTTCCCGCAGATTAAAACTAACAAGTAAGTCTAAGTAAGGCGAGCAAAGCGAGTATAACTCAATACAAACAAAATTATGAAGCGGAACCGCCTCCAAGGAGCATCAAGAGGTCCTTCCTAAACCATTAACTCTCTCATAGTGAATGGTGTATTCGGAGTCAAAGCACCACTCTTTGCAGACGACCAGCTCGAGTTGCCGCGAGTATCGGGATCCCGCTGCGCAATTTTATTCTGGATACTGTAGTAGGTTAAACTTCTACTTATCCAAAATCGACCCCAACATACCAAATAGTTATATGTCCAGCACGCAAGAAGCTAGCGCATGACTCTAACTACCTCTTTGCATGCCCAATTAAACCTACATATCTGACACGCCCCTCCCTATGGTCCGACCAGATTGAAGCAGCACGTTTTCTGGGCCTACCATTGGATGRCCTCGATGACAACTTATCTGAACCTTATCACCYTAACGGGGACGAGATCACAGTTACAACAACAACAACATTGGAATCATTTCACTACTTTGATTTTTTCATCCGTGTGAAAAATCCTTTAAGGTTAGGAAGAAATGTTGTTGGTGCAGGGATGCTCAATCAGAAGTTAAACGAACACCTTTGTCTAACAAAATTATAACTGATTCAGCTTGGCTTCATACACACTGAGAAACCGATATACAGAATTACTACATTAAACATAAATTTATCTTGGCGCCGACTACAACCACCTCTCTTTTCACACTCTCCTTCTATCTCTTTTGTTGTTCGAAAAATAATGGTTTTGACATTATATTGTTGTTGGTTTTAAAATTTGTATTTAATAGTAACTCCTTTAGTGGAATCTCTTCCAGACTGCGGTGTTAGTTAATGAAAGATTTTCAGCTAAGCATTTCTAGAACTGAAACTAACTAAAATCCAATTACGTGATAGGTTATTTAAGAGATTTTTCTAATTTGACAACTCGAGTCTGAAATAGGATCAGTTATGGTCACTGATCATAATTRACTGGGAAGATTCTCTTCAGTGGGAAGATTTATCTGACCCGTCGGTTGACTTAGAATAATTCATTTAGACATAAAACCTGAGATATTTATTGGAAGTGATTAAGAATAAAGTTAATTATGTTCTTTTTAGGCAAAAGAAAACTTACTAAGCTTCAAAAGCAAAAAAAAGTACAATTAATGGCTGTAGATTCGAATTACATAAATACTTTCCCAACARTTTTCTTTCAGATAGCGCGTATGAAATATACAAATTGTTAGATATACATTTCACTTGCACTTTGTTTACTTCGCATTTCCAATTGCTGGCATCCTTTCGAACAAATAGTTTTACTTTCCAATTTTTCAAAGATAATTAAAATAGCTTAAAGCGCACTAACAAACAAGTAAACTATTGGCTTACACATTAATATAATATATGAATATGTAGTTGTAAATGTATGTATGTAACAACTAAATACATACTCATTTACTGCACTGTATAAAGACATTCCAAATTTCATTTTCTTTTAAATTCCATTTTTCCATTTTCCSCCATAGCAATTGAAAGTTCGCCATTGCTTGTCTTGCATACATTTCTGCTGCACATGCATGCTTTTATTTTACCGTTAGTAATGGAGGTAAAATTGCTTGGCAACGACAAGCTAACCAAAGTGCTAGCAATTAGTTTGTACTATACTAATTTTAAAATTTATTGATTCGAAAATGTTGAGTGCGCCAACAATGCTATTCTGCAACCAAACTCTTCCCGCATTCCTGCCTCTAGTTGAGTACTGGCATAGCTAGTTATAATTCTATTATAGTTTGGGTTGATGGAATTTTCTTGTTTGTTCGGTGTAGTGAGTTTTCTAAACTTTGCTGCGGTTGTTTTTAGATTGGCAATGACAAATGCCGTTAAAACTGCATGTGCAAAATAAATTTAAGGATTGATGATATCGAATTTCTACTGGTAAACTTAATGTTAAATTGAGGTTATCTATGTAGGCCTAATATAATATTTGAAAGTTAATTATAGTCGTCTTTAAGAAATGTAATGAAATTTAAGTATTCGGAATCGTTTGATTATATTTAAATTGAGTTCCTCAATATGTTGTCGAGTTATAGTTATTTAACATTGAATAATATTTTGACCTTTGTTTCAAGCTAAAATGTATGTGTTCGTWTGTTAAAAATATAATCTGAACACTTTTAAAGATACATTTTTGTTAAATCTGAAATGGAAGAGTCGAAAATTGAAGTCTTCTTCAAAAGCCTTAATTTATTCAATAAATTTTTCTCTCAGAAATTTAAATCGTTTCCCATAACCTTTTATTTATTCAAAAATTTATATCACTTACCATAGCTCTTTAATTTAGTAAATTAATATCTCTTCCGAAATTTTCAAAATACTCCAATTGTCACTTAATTAAGTGATTTAATAAATCTCTTACAATTTTAAATATTTTTCAAAGCTTTTTAATTTAGTCTACTGTTATTTCGCTCAGTAATTTAAATATCATTTCTTAATTTAGTTAATATATCTTTCAGAAAATGAAACTCTTTTCAAAATCTCTTAAATTTAATCTATTAATACCTCTTTCGAAATTTTAAAAATAATCAAATCTCAACTTAATTTAGTCACTTAATTAWTCTCTTGGAAGTATATGTCCTTTCCTTAACCTTCTTAATTTAGTCAACTATTATCCATATCCTTAACTAAGTCAATTAATATTTCCTCCAGAAATTTAAGTATTTTTCCACGGCGTCTTAATTTATTCCATTAACAAATCTTTCAGACGCTCCTAAATTTAACTTATTAATAATTAGTTAATTAATATTTCTCTCAGAAATTTAAATCCCTTCCAGTACCATCTCAATTTAATTAATTAGTATCTCTCTCTGAAACTCGAACTCTTTCCCATATATTAGTAATTTATTGAACTAATTTTTCTCTCATATATTTAAATCCTTACAGTACCTTCTTAATTTAGCCTATTAATA